CAGAAAGTTAACTAAAATATAAAAGCCTACCTGTCACTTCTGTACATCCTTTTTTCATGACAACATGAGAAATTAACCGCTTTGGCTTTAACTGTCTTTTTTTCTCAACTCTTCTGCCTTCCTTTGTATTTGGGAATCTAGCAATTTCTTCAAGAGCCCTATGTCTTTTGTCTCTGTCCTGAGCCTAGAACAGGGGTCCCAGCCTAGGATAACAATGTATGAAAATGGGCTCTGTTTCAGGAACTCTGTACCTGGCCATTCAGCAACATCAGGCCAGGAGGAGACAGGACCTGAGAAGGCTCACTGTGCTACTCATCCCATGTCCCTCACCAGATCTTCAGTCATTCCAGACCTTGGCTCTGGCTTATACCATTTTCTGCGTTTCTTCTGCTAGATTTTCCCCCAAAATTGTTCTGTTTTCATTAGTTTTAACATAAATTAGGGCTTGTTTATCAGCCATTAGGGAGCTCTTTCTGTGTTGCTCCAGTTTTTTTTTCCAGCCTACTGAAGCCTCTCTTTTTATTTGTCTTGCCATAAAAGCTTAAATAGTTTTCTTTTAATTTTCTTGGTACTGAAAGAAGCATTTGTAGGTATTGACATGTATCCAGAAATATCCATGAAGACGTGTAGTGAATGAATTACCACCTTCCCAGACTTGTTCAAAACTTGAGCCCAAACCAGAGAAGGAGTTGGTGAGCATGTGGATGTGCCAGGATGCAAAGAGTACACGAGTGTACAAAAGCCTGGAAGAAACACCTCCAACTCTGAGAGGCCAGGGCCTCATCACAGTTAAGAGGGAAGGCTATTATCTTAGGAAAGATAAGCAATTTGAGGGAATTTATAGAAACATAAAAATACTCCTGTGGCCCAAGTTTATCTCTGATGCAGAAGCAGTTGCAGGGAAGTGTGGGTGATGCTGAAGTCCTTTCCCTGGTCCTGAGATGTAGTTCAGAATAACGAGTTTTCCTTAGAAACTCTGGAGTATTCTTTTAAAATGTGCCTTAGAGCAGTATTTTGTGGTCTGTTTCTTAAGGGTCTCTCCCTAAAAGTTTAAGACTGACAACTGCCTAACTCTGTTTTCTCATTTGATACAGGCTTGTATGACTGTATATGACATTCCTGACTTACTGGGAGGAAGGGGGTGCTTAGGGTCTGTGGTCTTCTCAGAATCCTTTTTGACATCTCAGATCTTGGTTAAAGAAAAGGGTAAGTGTTTATAAGGTCTTTAGAAAGCAAAACTTGAGTTTTTGTTTGTTTTGGCAAAATAAGTTATAGATACAGTTTCATAGTTCTTATGTATACATAAATCATAATATATAATAATTCTACATTGTATATTATAATTATATATAACATGTTATTAATTATAACATCTTCACACACACACACACATATGTATATGAGAATATGTACAGCCTCACTGGTAGTCAGGAAGAAGCAATTTGAAATAATAATTAGATCCTTTTTTTCACCCTTGTACTACCTTGATAAAAATTAAAAATATAGATAAAACGGACTAATTCCCAGGACTCTCCATTTAAGTGTGTGTTTCTAGTTGTTGTAAAAAAAATAATAAGAGTTAATCACATGGGGAAACCTTCCTCCCTCCCCTCACTAGTCTCCCTGTTCCCAGATGAGGAAGTTTTCAATTTCTGAGGGCACAAGATTTTGTATACTACTAAGAGGAGCCATCTCTCCTGAGAAAGGGAGGGGTGTTAGTTTGGGGGCCTACAAGGTGGGCTAGGGTAGTGGGCAGTAACTGGCATGTCTGTGGTCTTCCTGCAGATGGCACTGTTACCCCAGAAACCAGCTTCATAGTCCTGACAGCCGCCATACCCAGATTCTGCTCCTGGCTGGTTAGTGTCATTCATCCGGTGTAAGTGGACATAAATGTGAAGAAATCGGGAAGATCATTTGAGGAAGAGCCTCTTCATTGGGTCCCTGGTGGGATGTCAGGTCCTAAACTAGCTACTGTTCAGGAATGGAAGTTTTTATCTCAGCTCTTTTTCTTTATACAAATGAATCTAGTTTCTTTAACTCTCTCCTAAACTTGGGAAAGTGCCAAAAGAAATGAACTAAGTGATTTGGGTCCCTGTTAAATTATGAAAGGAAGAAATTAAACCTTCATTTTACAGATGAGGACACTAAGGCTTAGAAATTGACCAACCTGTCCAAAGTCATACAGATAGTGAGGAGTAGATCATGTGGCTCCCTTCTCTGGTCAGAATGGTTGCTGCTGAGTTTTTACAGCAGAGTCTTTCTACATGTAGAAGGGTTCCATCTTCATCTGTGGGAATTGGTCTAAAACTCTCGTGCCTTGGGACACAAAGTATGATAGCAATGAGTCTAATAATGGTCTAAGTACCTATTTTAAAATCTTTATATTCTGTTTCTATAATTCTTTTTTTTTTTAAAGATTTTCTTTATTTATTTGACAGAGAGAGACATAGCGAGAGAGGGAACACGAGCAGGGGGAGTGGGAGAGGGAGAAGCAGGCTTCCCGCAGAGCAGGGAGCCCGATGTAGGGCTCGATCCCAGGACCCTGGGAGATGTAAGGCAGACGCTTAACGACTGAGCCACCCAGGCACCCCTGTTTTTATATTTCTGATGTGAATAGAGAAGAACAAGAATCATCCTCTAACATGAATACATATAAATGAGAACACATTAATATGTTCTCTTCCCTTTATCCTTACAAATAGTTGCTTTTCTCTGAAGTGAAATGTAAGTGGAGACTAATACGTGATTTCCACATCTTGTAGGCTCATTTAGCTGGACCTCAGGTCCCAGGGAGAGAGAGAGCCCACCAGGGGCTTGGGCTCTGAGCCTTGATGACCAGTAGCCAGCCCGGCTCTGGCAGCCATCAGGGCCTCAGAACACAGGATTTGGTGGAGGGACTGCCCAGTCTCCTGGAAATGTTGAACATGGGCGAGACCTAGGAGAGTTTTGCCCTTGAAGTAGGAAACTGAACACTTGTATTCCTTTTGGACACAGGTAGAAGATAATGAAGTAAAATTGTCTGAGAAAACCCAGCAAGCAGTGAAGGTAAGCAGCCTTCTTATCCTCAGTGTTAACATTGTATCAAAATGAAATGTAAACAGTTTATGAAGATAACTAGAATATTTCATTTTAGGGCTAATCTGAAGAATATGTTCCTCTTTGTCTCAATTCCTGTTTGCATTCTTCCCCTCCCAGCAGAGCTTTAGAAATAACCATTTAATGGGATACACAGAGGGATTTGTTCTGCCATTTTGGCCTTTTGATGTGTTTTTTTAATCTCCCAGTACTATTAAAAGCAGATCTCAGATTGGCCTAGACGTATAGAACTGAGAGGTCAAGGCTTTAGGCCAAGGAGAGCTGCCTCCAGTTGCTAGAAATCCACTGCAGGATGAACAAGCATAGCAGGCTTTGGTGCCTGGACTCGGAGAGGACCTTACAAGTTAAAAATGCCTGTAACATGACAAAGAGCTAGGCAATGCCAAAGGCATGAAAGAAGTTGGGTCTGTGTGAGGCTGACTAAGGAGCTTTTGTAGACAGACAAACGGGCAGGACTTTTGATTCTGTGAAAATTTATGCTATAAATTGTCTGCTCTTTGTGATTGTTTTTAAAGGGGGATGCCAGTTTCCTGGGTACTTTTCTAACAGGAGGAGAAGGAGCATATCTTTATTCCAGCAATCCACATTCTTGGCCTGAGGAAGGTGAGCCAGCTATTACTTTTCTTTTTTCTTTTTTTTTTTTTTTTAAAGATTTTATTTATTCATTTGAGACACAGATACAGAGAGAGAGAGCATGAGCAGGGAGCAAGACAGAGGGAGAGGGAGAAGCAGGCTCCCCGCTGAGCCAGGAGCCCGATGCGGGGCTCGATCCCAGGACCCCAGGATCAGGACCTGAGCCGAAGGCAGACGCTTAAACATCTGAGCCACCCAGGCGCCCCTGGCTATTACTTTTCTATTCTTGACTGTGTCTGGGTCCCTCTTTGCAGGTATTGGCATGGGTGTTGTGATTAATAATGCATCTGATATTTGAAAAGACTTGTTGGTGTAGAAGTGTTTTCTTATGGCTTTCCTCCTTTTATCCACCCATTTTGCAGATGAAGAAACTTGTGCTAGGAAGGGATGGCCCCAGAACCACAGTCTGGTCCTCTTCTTGTCGCCTTGTTCTCAGAATAGGCTGGAGCGGCAGCGTGTCCAGAAATAGAATTTGTGGACCTAAACAAGTCTGGATTTATTTTCTATTGCTGTATAACAAATCACCACAAATTTAGTAGCTTAAAACACACATTTACTATTTCACGGTTCTGTAGGTCAGAAGTCTAGGTAGACTTGGCTGGATTCATGGTAGGTTCTCTGAAGTTAAGGCGTCAGTCAGACTAGGCTCTTATCTGGAGACTCTGGGGAAGAATTCACTCCCAAGCTCATGTAGATTATCAGCAGAATTCAGTTCCTTTGGATTGTAGGACTGAGGTCCCCATCTTATTGCTAGCTGTCAGCCAGGACCATGCTTAGCTCCTTCTCCCAGAGGTCCCTGCCCTGTGACAGCCCTCCCCCATCTCAGCAGTGAAACCTCCCTTGTGTTGTTGAATCTCTCTTACCCTTTGGATCTGTCTAAATTCCTTTTCTATACCAGCCAGAGAAAACTCTGCTTATAAAGAACTGCTTGTGATTAGAGGAAGCCCACTCAGATAATGTTCCTTTTGCCATATAACATTACATGAGCACAGGAGTAACGTCAGAAGATGAAGGTCATGGGAGCCATCTTGAATTTCTGCCCACCACGGTCTACCCTCTGGCCTCCCATTCGTGTCCCTCCCGCATGCAAAATACAGCCACCCCTTCCCAAGAGCCCCATCTCATTATGGTAACAGTTCAAAGTCCCAGATCTCACTAGCTCAAAAATCCAAAATCTCATCGTCAAGATCATCTAAATCAGATGTAGAGAAGGCTCTGGCTTTTAATCCATGAAGTACAACTCCTGAACAGAAGTCTTCTCTAGGTGTGGCCCCATGAAACTAATGAGACAAGTCACCTGCCCCTCTCTCCCAACACCCAGGGTGGCCCTGACATAGAATAATATAGACATTCATCTTCAGAAAGGGCGGGGTGGGGGGTGGAAAATAAAACGGAGTCATCAGGGGTGCCTGGGTGGCTCAGTCGTTAAGCGTCTGCCTTCAGCTCAGGTCATGGTCCCAGGGTCCTGGGATCGAGCCCTGCATCGGGCTCCCTGTTCAGCGGGAAGCCTGCTTCTCCCTCTCCCTCTGCCTCTCCTCCCTGTTCGTACTATCTCTCTTGCTCTATCTCAAATAAATAAATAAGATCCTTTAGGGGCTGCCTGGGTGGCTCAGTCGTTAAAGCGGCTGCCT